CCTTGTCAAAGTCACTCAGATCCTTACACTTGCCCATTTTTCCTGCTTCCAACACATCAACTTCAAGGACTGAATGTTCACTTGCTGCCTAATATACCCCACACACTGACAGGTGCCATGAGATAATCAGTGTTCTTCACTTCACCTCTCAGTGGTCATAATGTTATGCCTGACTGGTATATGTACAGGAACACACTGGTAAACTACATCTGCTTGTCCTAGTCATCTTTTGACACAACCTTACAGCATTTTCATGTTGCTTCTGTGCGACCTTCTCTCCTTCTTGCTTCCCTTTATTGTAAAAGCAAGGGGTCACTTTGTTATTGTTGCTGCGCTCAGCTAAAAAGGCTTTTGCTGTGTAACACATGTTAATCTGTTGTCTCGCTACCTCTGAGGGTCTGTAGGTGACATGTACTCCTTGGTCTGTAATACTTCTGCTCCCTCTTTCTCTCCATCACCCCTTCTCCCAATCCCACATCTAATCCTCTGCAGACACGAGAAGAGAGGAAGATGGAGGCCATCCTACAAGCATTTGCTCGCATGGAGAAGAGAGAGAAACGCAGAGAGCAGGCCCTAGAGCGAATCGGTAGCGTAAAGGCAGAGTGTGGGGGTCGCAGTGACATCAAGGAGGAGCCTGCCACACCAGAGACAGCAGATTCCCCAGCTGTTACACAGGTGAGAGCATGGAGTGAGGAAAAACCAAATACATGTTTGTGGGTGGATGCTCAGTATTGCATTGTTTTAATTAATAACACCTTACTGTCTTTGTAACAGCCTCTTCTGGAAGTGAAAGAGGAGCCAGGGCTAAAGCCGGCAAAGGTCAAAGGCTCGAGAAACCGGAAAAGTTTCTCAAGAAACCGAACGCATATTGGCCAGCAGCGCCGGCGAGCTCGCACCATCAGCACCTGTTCTGATTTGGCTCCTGGTTCTCCAGTCGAGTCCGTGGAACCCCTGACCAATGATGCCCCTGAAGGAGAAACGCCCACTGCACCAGAACCAGAGGCAGTCTCTGCTCAAGCACCGGACACAAGCCCTCCCCATAGCAGCTCACCTGCACCTGATAGAAACCGCACTGGGAGCAAGAGCTTTAAAACAAAAAAGGTACAGATACATTTTTTTATTTCTGCATGAGCAACATTATTAAGCAACTACTGTGTGGTTGATGAACAGCTATGCTGTTGTTTCGTGCTCTTACAGCTTGTTTTTAAAATATAGCAACTTGTAAACTAAGAAATTATTAATTGTTAAATTGTTTAAGCAAAAGCACCAAACACATTTAATGTTTTGGAAGCCTTATAAATATGTCAGACAATTTACTAAAACTTCTCATACTCAACAGCACTTTGTTAGTGAGTGGGTGGGAGAGAAGCAGCAGGACCGTGGTGCAGTTCAAACCCCAGAGCCAGCCCCAGAGAGACCGCTGAGAATAAGCAGTGACCCTGAAGTACTTGCCACACAGCTGAACGCCCTACCGGGCATGGCCTGCTCACCACAGGTCTACAGCACACCAAAACACTACATCCGTTTCTCATCCCCATTCCTAGCAAACCGCAGTCCCACTGCTCCTGGAGTTCCTACAGGACGACGGCGATCCAGAGAACTGCCTGAAACACCACCAACCACTGGCTCCTGCAAGAAGGTACAGGGTAGAAATAGGCTGGCATTTCCTTTGGATTTTTTTTCATCCGTCTTATTAGGCACGATTGTCTTGCTTATTCTTATGATGAAGAATTATCATTAGTATGATGAAAGAGAGGATTGTCTGTATTTAGCAACTATTGAAAGTTTTTCTATTTGTATTGAGATGCATTCTTTGTTGACTTACCAAACCCTTCCTCTCCCACAGCGATGGCTGAAGCAGGCCCTAGAGGAAGAAGGTTCCACCAGCCCAGCCAGACGGCCAAGCCTCCTCATGCCCAGTGAGGGTCCTCTCAGCCCCTCCATTAATGGAGACTCTGACAGCCCTTTACCTTACAATGGCACTTGCTCATTGCCAGGTAATTTCCAGATGGGAACCAAGCTGTGAGCCTCTTAAGACTTTAGAACTAGCTCATGTTAGTCTGTTTGTACCCAGACTGAAACAAGGTAGCAATCCAAAAATTTGGTATAGAATCGTACAATTATAATGTTGGTTTTCACCCACTGTTTTAGAAATCGTATTTCCACAAACCTTTACCTTTTATGCTCTCTTAGAACAAGTCTTACCAAAGTCACTATGCAAAAAACTTTTGTATAAAAGTGCATAAAACATAGTAATTTTCTTCCTTCAGAGTTACCCACACCTTTGAAAAAGCGCCGGTTGAGTCCGTTAGATGCCTGTATGTCCGAGAGCTCAACACCCTATGGTTCCCCTTGTGCCACACCTACCAGGATGGACCAGTCGGAGACACCTGCAATCCCCGTGTTACTGGCTACCCCACCACGTCCCCGAATAGAGGAGCCCAGTACAGAGCCCTTGCCCAGTACCCCAACACACACACTTAGTGCCACTCAGGATGTAAGGCTCTCTGTATGGAAAACACTATAAAGTTGCATATTTGAAAAAGAATGGGAATGACAGAGTGTGTGTTTGGTTTCACAGAATGAATCTTCAGGGGAGAGCTCACCAGAGGTCAGCCAGAAACCCAGTGTGCAGGAGGTGAGTGGAGGTCACAACTAGACAGAGTATTCATAGGAATTAGTGTTGATGGATTTTCAGACATTGTTGATCATGTCAGCAGTCTGATTAGTAATTCTCAGTTGTAATTGCTCAACAGAATCTATTGTGTCCTGTCTCATACTAAATTGTGAAGATTATTGATTTACCATACCATACCATACCAACTTTATTTATAAAGCACTAAAAACAACCAGAGTGGACCAAAGTGCTGTACATTGCAATAAAACAATATAAATTATAAACCACAAACAACAATATAAAATATAATCAATCAAATGACTAAAATCAACACAAAAATATCAAAATGCCAGGGAAAATAAATGAGTTTTTAAAAGAGACTTAAAAACAGACAGGGTAGAGGCTTGTCTAATGGACAGTGGTAAATCATTCCAGAGTTTAGGACCAGCAACTGCGAAGGCTCGATCGCCTCTAAGCTTACGCTTCGTTCTTGGGACACTCAAGAGAAACTGATTTGCTGACCTCAGAGAGCGTGTGGGTGTATGCCAATGAAGCAAATCAGTTAAGTAGGATGGTGCAGAGCCATGAAGGGATTTAAAAACAAAGAGTAAAATTTTGTAATGGACCCGAAAATGGACAGGTAACCAGTGTAGGGAGGCCAAAAGTTAATGCTCCGGCGACGAGGGAGCGTCTGCCAGAGGTATAAATAAGGAGGAAGGTAATCATTGGGATGCACCTCAACTGTGCGCACAGACAAATGAGTCGCTAATTACCGAATGCAACACAGCTGAGGTGCAGAGCCCACAGGTCGAGAGAGCTGAAAGAAAGGAAGGAAGAGAAAGGCGGAAGAGAGGCAGGTTGCGCCGAGCAGACCTGACATCAGAGGCTTCATGTCAGTTGTGCTCAGACTACACTGTGCTCCCTCTTCCTGTGATGTGTATCTAACTCAGTCCTCCTCCCCTGACAGACCATTTCTCTCCCCATGAATAAGTCTGACAGTCCTTGGTGTTGTTTGTGGCTCCTCCTCATCAAACCTCAAATACATCCTTGCTCCTCACAGAGGAATTACAAAGGCAGACAAAATAAGAATGTGAAAGAAAAGAAAGCCACAGATGTCAACTCTCAATTTATAGTGGAACTTCATTACACACATTTTGCCACCACCCACATAGAAGAGCAAAACAGCAGATTAATAGGATGAAACATTACATATAGTTGAAGTTCCAGTTGCTTCCTGAGTTTATCTGCTGGCAGAATAAATAACATGAGTTTCCACTTCTCTGTCAGATGCAGCTCTCCTGCTTTTTATTGTCTTTGGAAGGAACCTCAGTGCTGCAGGGTTCATGTCATCAG